TTTGCCACTGGCCCCAAGGGTCTGTTCCGCCACATTGGGCACAAACTGCTTGTACTGCAGCGGGGCCAGGCTTCTGCGGCTGGACTGCTTCCGTCCCACCGGCCCCCTGCCAGGGCCACAGCCCTGAGCAGGGCACAGGAGGCAGCTGGTCAAGCAAAGCCCAAGCAGGCTGACCAAGGCAAGCCTGCGCCAAGCCATCTCAGCCAGATGCCAGCCTAGCTGGCCCTCTCCTCCTCAGACGTGCAAGTCTCCGCTGGTCTCCAGGAGCGCAGTCGGCTGGGGTGGGCATCACCCTGACCAGGCTGCTGGGAAGGCAACGGGATTCCTCCACACTCCCATCCCCTCAGGAGCCCACTGCTGGCAGGAAGGTCTCTCTGTGCCCTACGTCTCCTCCCGCAGTGCCACTGCCTGGCCCCCATACGCGATTCTGGCCCCTCCCCGTGCCAAGACACAGTGGCCCTTTCAAAGCCGCCACCACCACAGCTCCCAGCGCTTTGCAGAGACCGGCCCGGCTCTCCCTGCCCCCTGGCGTCTCTCCCTGCCCAAAGCCATCGCGGGGCCTCCTTCCCCAACGGCAGGCTACCGGGCGGCAGGAGCCCCAGACGCAGAGGCGAGCGATGCCAACCCTTCCCATTAAGGGCTCGGGGGAAGCCAGCTGGGTCGCGGCGTTGCTCCCGCTGCCCGGCTCCGCCTTGAAGCCCAGCCCCCGAGAGTTGCTGTGCCGGCCACATCCCCTCCCGGGGCCGCCTCTCCCTGAAGCGGCAGGGGCAGATTCCCGGAGGGAGGTTGCACCCTACGGACACCAACCTAGCGCGCACTCCCGCGGCGGGGACTCAGCCGCCACCTCCCTGCCCAGGCTCGGAAAGAAGAGAGCCGCTTCTTCGTTGTGCCAGTCTGCATTCTGGCGCCCTCTACTGGGGAGGCTGGGGATCCCGCGGCTTACCTTGCTCGTAGAAAAGAGCCCGGGGAGGGGGGCCGTGCGGTTAATGAAATGGTGTTTTCGGAATGAGATTTCACTTTCGGAGTCCTTTTCTCTCTCCCCCGCCTCCGTTCCACCATTCTTAGCCACCCTGCACGTCGACGCACCTCAGGCCCTTTGCATGAAGATTTCCACCCCCGCCCCCTTTCCCGGCGCCCTGGTTTTCTTCAGGGGAAGTAGGTCTGTAGGCCACTAGGCCGAAAGGCATCACACAGAGCTGCTTGGGTTTCCTGCCCTTTCAGCATTGTTTCCTGCGTTCCAGGAGATGAGAAAATAAATAACCAGAAGGCAGAATATCCCTGCCTGAAGTTGCCCTTTTTTCTTCTGAGCAGAGAGTAACTCGCGCAATTCCTGGCCCTAGAGATATGGCCAAAGAGAAGAAGTCTCTTTCCCCCTTTGTTGGATCATGGCTGAAGTTGGCCCACAGATGTCAAAATGATTATTTTAAAAGTTGTTTCTTAAGCAGCACTTTCAGATGTTCCTTTCCTTGGAAGCGAGCACTCCGTAAAGCCAGAGCTGCAAATGCTGAAGCAACAGTGTCCACATTTCTCTGTTCAGTATGTGGCAGAACATTCCGTGCTAACATTGGTCTCATCAGCCATCTACGGACACACCGTTGATGGCCCACAATCCACAAGATGTCAAGGTCTTCATTGAAATCGATGGACGAACAACATTCAAGTTAACTGGACTAGAAGATCTCCAAGGTCCCTTCCAGCTCTATTCTGTTTTAAATTCTATTCTATTCTATTCTATTCTATTCTATTCCTATTCCTATTCCTATTCTATTCTTATTTTTCCTCAGCTACCAGACTCAAGGTGGGGGAAGAGAAAGGAAGGATCTTTATTGCCAAGGACTCACCCTCAAGTTATGTCACTGCAGGGAAAGGAGGAGAAAGGTCGACCTTTGGTACTTCACCAATCCATCAGTTTCTTGAATTAGGCCACTGCTGCAAGGCATTCATAACAAAAGCCTAAATAATGATTGCTTCCTTCCTTTCCGAAGTGATGAAGCAGAATGGTATTAAGGGTTCTGGTGTCAAGGCCCACGTCTGCGATAATTTCCTCTGTAGTTGGTGCATTTATTAGAAGTCTAGGAACTCAGCTAGAATATAGGTAGTCCTCAACTTATGATAAATAGGAGCAGAATTTCCACTACTAAGCAAGATGGCTGTTAAGCAAGTTGCGCCCAATTTTTTGCCGTTATTAAGCAAATGAGTAGAGTTAAGAGAATCACGCATTTGTTAAGTGAATCTGGCTTCCCCCATTGACTTTGCTTGTCGGAAGCCAGGAAGGAAGGTTGCAAATGGCAATCACATGACCGTGGTTGCTAAATGAATGTTTGCAAGCCAAGAATTACTTGTATATACACATATGCACATACATGCAGGCTTAAATCTTGGGTTGTCTTCCTGCCTTTCCATCACAAAAAGACATCATCCATTCTCCTAAAGCTTATCAAGAAAGGCCACCTAGTTAGCATTTTCATAACACATTTTTTTTGGTCTTAGGCTTACCTTCTCCCATCTTTCTAACTTCAAATTTTATAGGTTGTGGATGTGCTATATATTTGGGGCCTAGAGATAAAGCTGATCTGTACTGGAAGACTAGGGTTGGAATTATAACAATTGTAATTCTAATTCAACTACTAAGGACCACCAATTTGACCTTGTCCTTACAAGTCCTTTCATTACGCCACTAGATTAGACAGATTTTTTTCTTTTTTTGACATGATTACATTCATATATTGCACCAAATGCAATAAATTGCATAAATCTCCATGCTGAGCTGGCTCCTAACATTAGGCTGTGAAACACAGTTCACAAATCATATTAGCTGAAATGTTATCACCTCATTATGGCCAAGCATGATGCAGGAGTGCAGTTGTTTCAAAAACAAAAGATTTCCTCCGCTCCCAAAATATTAAATTGCCGTTTTGCAACACAAGTTTTCAAAACTCATAAAAGAACAATTCTGATTTGCATCATATAGCTCAAATGAAAACAGCGTTTACTCAATTTGATTGGCAGAACAACTGAGTACAGAATGTTTCACATCCATATCAAACCATGTAAAAATTTGGAGTGGCTGAAACAGTGATGTACAAATCTTGTCATGATTTATGTAATATGAACCTAGCTAATAATAGTTATTAGCTAGGTTCATATAATGGGTTTTCTCATTTACAAAGCTCAGTAGATACAGTATATCTCCTGTTACTTGTATTATCTACTAGCAGAATATTATCTTTCTCCAATCTCCCAGAATATAAAATAAACATCTAGAGAAAGGATTTTTGTAAAAAAAACACAATTTATTGCTTACACAGCTAGGAGTTCCATGTAATAAGACCAGACATTCACTACATAACAAGAAAGACACTTGGTCCTGTCTGAGCTGAAGTATAAACATTGTCATATTTCCTGCAACAGATGGATTCACACAGTTTTTTTCCTATTCTAATTTAGCCCACCTGACTGATTGGGACTGCAAATCCTAGAATTTATAGCCTGCAAAGCTTTTAAATATGTTGATTGAAAATTCTGGGAGATACAGTACATCCACATCTGAAGGTATCTCTTTGGGCAAAGTTAAAGGTGGATCTGTGGAGAATGCAGAGTTTGAAATATTGAACTTTTTTCAGCTCCAGTTTTAATATCTATGGAGACAAGTGGCTCATTGTCATCACAATGTAATCTTCAGTCCTCTGAGTTATGCACAAAGGGCAGTGTGAGGCTTGCTAACCCTACCTATCTACAACAGAAGCCTTGATGCTGGAAAAGAGCATGCTTGCAACTCAGATAGCCTACACGATGATAAATGACCGTTTTGTTCAGTGCTGGACCATCTGATGCCCATCTCCCCATTTATGGCCAACCTGTTTACTGTTTTCTGCCATAAAATGAAGGATTAAGCTTTGTGTAATTTCAATGAAAGCAGAATATAAGGGGGCATCTGGTCAAGCATTCAAGGGCTGAGAGACTTCCAGTGGAAGCATTCACAGTAGATAGAGACATGGGGCTAGAATGCCAGCCATGCAAAAGAAGCCGAAAACCTTTGGAGCAGGGGTGGCATTCCATGGCCCCAATGCCATTAATAAAAAAAAGACCTCAAACAATTATGAATAGTTGGGGGAGGAAGAATATAGTTCCCTCTACCCCATTGCATAAATATTCATGCATGTCTAAAGCAACCAATATTTACCAATAATGGGAACTAACTGCCCAGTTATTATGAGAACTGGACAATGCCTCTGGGATGCCCTTCATAGAATCTGAGTGGGAAAATTAGGCAAAGTGTCCATGAAGTCCACCCAATGGGGAATTTACTACTCCAAAGTTGACATGGATGAGAAGAAGACAGAGGAGCTGTATGAATATTCTTGAAACCTGAGCTTCGGACTCAGAAGATTGGCTGCCCCATAATGGCATGGCAGTGGTTTCTTTCTGGCTGGATTAAATCATTCTGGAAAAATTGATCAAGGAGAAATTGATTGGATCCTATGTTGACAACTATTGCTGTGAAAGAGCAAAGCATAACACGTTACAGTAGTCATTTTTGACAACACACACGCTCAAAACTCAAACAACCCCCTCTCCACACACATACACACAAACATACCAAGTTGGCTACTGAATGGTATACGACGTGGCCCAATAGTGCCAACTTATATTGCACTTGAGTGAGGTACGAAACCAAATTTAAAAAACCACTCAAAACTTGAATTGGCCCCTTTGGGCCACAGGATTTTGTGAGAGAAAGGCGGCCAGGGTAGGTATGAACTTTAAGACACATGTAAACAAAAGGGAAGGGGAAAGCCCCAATAATAGAGAACGGCAGCATCTGTTATCATGAGGGACACAAGCTCTTTCTCCAGCAGGCTGAACCTTCATCTTGCCCCCTAAAAATTAGTCCAGCAGCTCATTTTATTTATCGGTCTCAGTCCTTTGTCCACTTCATAACCTACTTCTGTTGCCTTGATTCTGCTGGTTTGGGTTGTTTTTTTTTATGAACAGCATATTCTCTTTCTCTTGCCAAACAAGCACCTTAATAGAAGTCCCAAAGGGCTTTCTTGTGTTGAAGCCTGTCGTTCCTCAGGCTGCTGGGAGGCAGGAACAAGGGGCCATGCAACTGAAGGACGCGACTTCATCATCTCACGGTCCTGTCAGGATGCCAGTCAAATCAAGGATCAGAACAAGGAAGTTCCTGACCTCCGCCCCCTTCACTGATTGGCTCAGAACACAAGCACAAAGTCAGAAAGGTCTATCCATAGTCAATGCCAAGCTCAATCCCGGCGCAACCCTTATTTTAGCTGAGTTTGCTTGGTTGGTAAGATCGGGTCACAGGTAGAGGCAGCTTGTGGAGGCCTAAAGGAAGAGAAAAGAAAAGAAAAGTAGTTGAACAAGTCAAGCCTGCAGTCTCGTCCTTTGCTATTTGGGCAACAAGAGAGCCAGTTCAACACAACGATTTTGTTATCTGTTGCAAGCCACTGCAAAAAGTGATTTTGGAGGTTTAGCACCTAGAAAGAATAAAACAAGCCAGCATGCAATCAGGGCAGAAAGGGGTCTTCTTAATGGAAAGCAGGCCAGCTTAACAGAAGTTCCAAGCCTTTCCCAAAATCGAATGCTTGGCACACACAGATGCGTACACATATACTAAGCCCAACTGGCTTAGCCTTAGAGCATGGGTAGGCCACCTTGGCCCTTTTATGACTCGTGGACTTCAACTCCCAGAATTCCTGAGCCAGCCATGCTGAGGGGAAAGGGAGAGGTTTCCAAGCTGAGCCATGCTGGCTGAGGAATTCTGGGAGTTGAAGTCCACGAGTCATAAAAGAGCCCAGGTTGCCTACCCCTGCACTAGAGCTTTCTGAATAAACAACAATTGACTGGGTTCACATAAGATACTAAGTAAAACAAAGGACATTATGATTCAATGCGACGTGTGAACAAGCTACTGGCCATCCGAAAAGAAGAGGCTTCCAGCCCTAGGCTACCCAAGAGATAGTCCTTTCCAGGTTGATCAGGCCACCTGCTTTCTTCCCCCCTCCCCTCCCCCACCAATCCCAGAAGAAGACCCAGATGTACTTACCAACTGCCCTGATGAGTTCTGCCTGTACAGCCCAGGTGAACTTCTTGACCAAGCAGAGAGTTGTGAGTCCGGCAAAGAGCATGTTATAGAGGAAAACAATGTAGAAGTTTCCCAGCCAGTTAAACCTCCCAAAGTCTCCCAGCAGGTCAAATCTTGTAATCCCTGAAACAAAGAATAAGAGGGGAGAATGCTGACAACCGTGCATCATAAATATTCCTGTCTTCCAATCCCAATCTTAGCTCTTGTAGGAGGATTGGCTTGACTAGCATGACAGTTCAAATCTGGGGCAGAACTGAGCTTTTTTTTTATTAGTTTTATTCATTTATAACATAAAATGTGAAAATATAAAAGCAAATAGTAGGGGACAACAGTAGAGAAAGGGAAAACAAAAAGGATGTGAAGAAAGGAAGGGAGAGAAACAAAAGGCATTGACTTCCGACTCTCTCTGTTGCAGTAAAATCAGACATTAAAATCAAATCTCAGCTTTTAACATTTCTATAGTAGTATGCACTAGCCATTTCTGTATTGGCAAATCAGTCTAATCGGTAAAACCCAAAATCATAATATCATTTTTTTTCCACCTCAAGCACAAAGTCCAGAAGCGGTTTCCAAGCAGAAACAAAAGTACTTATGTTCTTTTCTTTTATCAGCACAGTCAATTTGGCCATCTCTGCTAATTCCATCCTTCCACTTTTGTGCATAGAGCAATCTTGCTGCCGTCACCATATATAAAATCAGAATTCCTTTTTTTTTCCAGTTCTCTTTCCATTAGACCCAGAAGGAAAGTTTCTGGTTTAATCTTTATGTTCACTTTAAGAATTTTCTGCATTAACGTATGAATCCTACTCCAATATTTCTTTGCCTTATCACATGTCCAACATAAATGATAAAAAGTCCCTTCTTTACATTTACATTTCCAACATTCAATTTGAAATACCTTTATACATTCTAGATCAAGGATTTTCAACCTTTTCACCCATTGTACCACTTTTAGGATATGGTAATATCCGAGTACTACTAGTCGCCTAGCAAGGTGTCAAAAACTTGATGACCAAAAAAAAAAAAAGGAAAAAGGTAATAAAATACAGGTAGTCCTCGACTTACAACATTTCGCTTAGTGACTGTTCGAAGTTACAATGGCACTGAAAAAAGTGCCCCCCAAGCCACAGCCGAGCAAGACACCTGCCTACCCGCCCGGCGGCGCTCTTCCTCCTGTCGGAGGTTTTCATTGCTGTGAGCATTTCTGTTGAGGATTGGCAGTGGGGGTGGGGTGGAGGGGTGTTTGGTTTTTACTCCCCCCATCTGCTGGGTGGTTGCAGCAGGTTTTGGTCACTTCACATGACCCTGGGACACTGTGACCGTCATAAATATGAATCAGTTGCCAAGCATCTGAATGTAAATCACAAGAGCCTGGAGATGCTGCAACATTCCAGCTGATCGGCGCTTCTTCAGGGCTCAGCAGAAGCGCCAGGATCAGCACCTGGTGCTCTTTCCTTCATTTGTTGATATGTAAACCAGTGACAAGCGTGACCTTCTAATTCTAATTCTTCCCTAGACTTGAGGATGGGGTCTCCAGAATTGAAAGATACTATTTTACCATATGTCCACCAGTCTGGCTTCACTACCATTTCTTTTCTTAAAAAAAAACTTCTTGGGGGGGACACCCATAGGGGCAATTTTGTAAAAATCCTTGTTTTATATTTATTCCAAGCTTCTGAGCATCTTAACAACTTTTGTTTTCATTAAAAAAGCAATATATCCCATTTGGTGCTGAAAATTTTAAAAAAAGCTTTCCAGGGGAACAGAAATACCTTTTCAGAAGATCTACTGGCAGAAACAGGATAATTATATTAACCTTTTTTTATTTACCACAGTGTTTAGGTTTTATCTGTGCAAGTCTTTTTGTAATTACTATAGCTCCAGTTTTTACAAGGAGGCCACAAATTTATTTGACTGATCAATCTGATATATGTAGACACAGGAAGCTACAGATAACACATAGATATGGGTAAGAAAGAACAAGACTCACCCAGCGTGCGAGACAACACAGGAAGTGCAGAACTCAACACCAAAAGAGAGACACAGTTCCCAATGATCTGCCGGGAAATACAGTTGAAAACAATGATGTGCATTCTTGCCACTGGTTGCCTTCATCTCATGCATTCGATCATAGGCAAGAATATGTAATTTATTTACTTATTTGTATCCCATTTTTATTTTTTTTTAAACAAATAGCTCAAGGCAGCGAACATACCTAATGCTCCTTCCTCTTCCTATTTCCCCCACACACACAACAACCCTGTGAGGCAGCTTTGCCTGAGAGAGACTGACAGGCCCAAAGTCGCCCAGCCAGTTTTCAGGTCTAAGGTAGAACTAGAACTCACCGTCTCTCACTTTCTAGCCTGGTGCATTAACTATTAGACCAGGGGTAGGCAACTTAAGCTCTTTTATGACTCGTGGACTTCAACTCCCAGAATTCCTGAGCAAGCCATGCTGAGGGGAAAGGGAGAAGTTTCCAAGCTGAGCCACGCTGGCTCAGGAATTCTGGGAGTTGAAGTCCACGAGTCATAAAAGAGCCAAGGTTGCCTACCCCTGAGCTAGACCAAACTGGCTCTAATTGTTCCTTTACCCCTAGATTCTCTTTACTAGGTTCAGTTTGTTCCCTCCAAGGAATGGAAGAGACTGAAACTGATCTCTCCTCAAATTTTGAGGGTCTTCAGCATCTTACACATCTTTCCAGAGTTCAAGCCTTTGGCAAGGAGCATCTCTCTATGGTACTTTTGCTCCAAAATGCAGGCAGTCTCTCCATCAATCCCATTTGACGGCTGAACACTAGCAACATCTGGCTTGTCAAATAGCTAAACATGATACATGGGCATTTGTTCCTTAATCTTTAATCCTGGAACTGGGGCAAACCACAGCCGGTTCCCGAGATTGTGCTGCCAGATTCAGTGGCAAATGTCCTCCCAATGGCTGTTTTTCAGACAGATTTTGGAATTCTTTGAAGATTTAGAGAGTCGGAGGGGGGAGCAGGAAATCTCCGAAATGCAAATCATATCTTTTACTCTGCAACAATATTCCCAAATGGCTCAAAAGTTGAGATTTGGGGACATTTCTGAGGGCTGGGGGAGATTTGTAGGCGGAAGACTCAACTGTTAGTCTCCAGTTTCACTTCTCACCCTCGAAATTATGAAGATGAGGGAAGAGGGCTGATGCCCCCTATTTCATTGAATCTCAGTATCTTTAAATCACAACTAGCAGACTCGTGGAAAGTCAGGAAATTGTGTCTTTCAAACAATGCAGTTACATAACTGGCTTTTGAACAGATATCAATAAAGAGGGTTCCTCTTTCAAACTAGAAGCCCTTGCCTGTCTCTGCTAAAATGCACTCATCCCATTTCTCAACTAGGTCTCTTTGCTTTTCTATACACCATTCTCCAGCAGAGATTGTCCCACCATCTTGTTTCAAAATTCAAAGCTCTCTACCGTATTACAATTCTGTTAACTAGCCTTCCTGGGACAATCTATCCCAGGGATGTCCAACCTTGGCAACTTTTAAGACTTGTGGACTTCCCTTTTCTTTCTTTTTCCCCTTTTCCTCACACTTTTCCCTCTTCCCTCCCCTATTTTTCCTACTATTTTCTTTTGTATTTTTTGTATTTTATATTATAAACTAATTAAAAAAAGGACTTGTGGACTTCAACTTCAGCATGGCTGGCTGAGGAATTCTGGGAGTTGAAGTCCACAGGTCTTTAAATTTGACAAGTTTGGACACACCCCTGATCTATTCAAATACGGTAACTGCTAAAAAGATCGTTCCTTTTTGCGCATTCCATGAACAACATTTCAACTAATGGTTTGGAAGTTTCATCAGCGAAAAGTATGTAATAATAAAATTTTGTATGAAAAAAATCCTACCTTAGTCATAGCTGTGTTGTGTTGCTCAGGCAGCAGTTTAATGAAAAATGGGGAGCTATAGAATCCCACAACAGAGGAGATCATTAAATAACTAAGAAACGTTAAGGAAGAACAGGAGTTATCTTCAGCTGATGGAAATAATTAATTTTTACATTACAGATCATCGAGAAAAGGAATACAACTACTCCTGTTATAGATAGATTATGCAACTTTATAGTAAAATGGAAGCTGAACGATGGAAAATTCAGGACAGTAAAAAGGAAAGATTTCTTTGCAAATGGTGGTGCTGGGTTCAGGGAGATACCCACTTGTATGGCTTCAGAAAGGGAATAGACCAATTCATGGAAGAGAAGTGACTCAGTATAGCAGTTTATTTATTTATTTATTATTTAAATTTATATACCGCCCTATCTCCCTTACGGGACTCAGGGCGGTGAACAGGCGATAATAAAAATCACAATAAATATTAAATAAAAAGCCTGCTCTAAAATACCCCCTATAAAAACCCCTACCAAAACACAATCAGAACTACGCCAGGCCGGCCGCATGGAATAGATGGGCTTTCAAGGCTCGGCGAAAGAGGCGCAGGTCCGCAGTTGTACGTAGGTCGGGGGGGTAGGTCATTCCAGAGGGCAGGAGCTGCCACAGAGAAGGCTCTCCCCCTGGGGGTCGCCAGCCGGCATCGACTGGCCGACGGTACCCTAAGGAGGCCTTCTCTGTGGGAGCGGACTGGTCGAAGGGAGGTATTTGGTAGGAGGCGGTCTTGCAAATACCTAGGTCCATTGCCATGGAGCGCTTTAAAAGTTGTTACTAACACCTTGAAGCGTACCTGGAAGGCCACAGGCAGCCAGTGCAGCTCGCGCAGGAGAGGTGTTACATGGGAGCATCTAGAGGCCCCCAGGATCCCCCGCGCGGCCGCATTCTGAACTAGCTGGAGCCTCCAGTTACATGATGGCTTCCAGTAACAGAGACAGGTTGAAAGAAAACCGAAGCAGATTATTAATTATGAGAGGGTCCAACAAAGTGAAAATAAATGTGAAACAGACCAATGGGAAAAATGTGTGTTTTCTTTCTAAACATGAATGGCATTAACTGCACCAAGAGCAATGAAGGCGATTCCAGTAAGGATACAATATCAGAATGACCTGCATGGCTGCCCCAAAAGAGCCAAAGACAGAGAAAGAAACTTTTCCAAGTGGTGCATCCTGCAGAATGAGAAAAAGAATTGGGTTATTTGGGGAGGGGAAACATGACAAAAACCTATGCTTTCTGCATATCAAAAGCTCAGTGCTGCAACCCAAACCAAATTCTTGCTAGGGGATCCCTTTCTATAAATGTCCTGCTATTCCTTACGGTCATAAAAGTTGGGTTTTAAAGTTGGTTGACAAGCTTAAGTGCTTGCTTAGCTCTTTGCATTTTCCCACCATCAGAAGACGACGAACATATGGTTTGCCTCACAATAGCCTCTCCCATGGAAGGAAAAGCTTCTGTCAATGACCATCTCTCCCTGGAGTTCTCTAGAGCAGGGATCCCCAACCTATGGGCCGTGGCCCGGTACCAGGCTGTGGGCTCTTGACCAGCGGGCCGCAGAAATGGCTGGCCAGGGCGTGCATTCCCCCCCCACTTGCGCTAGCGCCCACGGCCGTTTGCATATGCACGCAGGCTAGGAATGCTAGCGCGGTGTGTGTTTTGGCGGCCCATTTGCGCATGCATGAACGGGTGCTAGCCACCGCGGGGGTGTACAGCCGTTCACGCATGCACATGGTGCCAGCACATGCCGCATGCGCGAACACGGTTGCTAGTACTGCGCCAGTGGGTGTCCTGTTTGCGTGTGTGCGCACGCATGCACACAGTAATTTGGAAGCTGCTCTCCCTTCCGGGCCATGAGCCCGGAAAGGTTGGAGAACTCTGCTCTAGAGACCCTCTGCATCTGTTCCGGATGATTGGGGGGGGGGAGAGCTCTGAAACAAAATCAGAAGGTACAGAAAGGAAAGGAGATAAAAGGCACAGGTGGCTGAGTTTCACTCTGAAGGAAACCTACTCACTCCATGCAATATGTAGAATCATAGAATATAACTTTCCGGAGCACAGAGTTTGTTCTCCACTACACTCATTGGGCAACTGCATATAGCAGACCTGAGCATTTTATGGCCCCTGGGCCATATCCAGCCCTTTGGCTGTCCCTGTCCAGTTTGCGTGGCTTGCTTTTATTTTGAAGGCAACTGCTTTTTTCAATTTACGTGTGTGTGTGTGTGTGTGTGTGTGTGTGTGTATACCTATGCATGTTCACAGCCTATTGCTTTGGCCCTCCACAACAGTCCCAGTTTCTCATGCGGCCCCTTGGGAAAATTAATTGCCCACCTGTGGCTTACAGGCTACCCGCTCTCCTTATGGAAAGGAGGATAGACGCTGGATTCCTGAAATAGGGATCTTGCCCCAGCTTAAAGAAACTGTGTACCATCTGAATGATGAATAAGGATATCTGACAGAGTCATTCATGGTATACAAGCAGCACATGAAAATCAGGCTCCAGAAAAGCAAGAAAAGCACCAAGGAGAGAGATCAGGTGCTTTTTGCGCCCTCACCTGGATTCCTCGAGGCATTGCAGCATCATCCAACAGCAGCTCCAGAACATGGAAGCAGACAACCAGGACAGAGATACCCTAGAAAATACCACGTACTTCTGAGTATTAGGTGGAAGGTAAGAGAAGAGAGGTTTCCATGCTGCATCTCGAGCTTGCACCTTAAAGAGCTACATGCAACATTTGAAAATAATAGTAGGGACTTTTCAGTCACCTTTGAAACCAGGTTCCCAAGCCAAAACATTGATCCTAAACACCGAAGGTTCACAGAAGAATAATCTCTTTTAGGGATACATGCATCATCAGTTTCCTGCAGACTCAGCATAATATAACCAATTATTTGTCTTTCTGCCTTCTATTCATATTCATTTACTGCCCAAAATGGTATAGGGTTTCCTGCCTGAGCAGGAGGTTGGACTAGATGACCTCCGAGGTTCCTTCCAACTTTATCATCATCATCATCATCATCATCATCATCATCATCATCATCATCATCATCATCATCATCATCATCATCATTATTATTATTATTATTATTATTATTATTATTATAATATAATCAGGCTTTGTAGTACGAAGTCCTGTAACTGGCTGAATTTAATCTATAAACTATGGCTTAGAGATCACAATGGCCAAAGTCACACATTATACTAAACCTGGGTTTCCCAAACTCTGTGGTGTCCCTTGCTTGGGGAGGGGCATGCAGATTCGAGGGAAGGTGTGAAGAACCTTTTAGTTTACATTGTTAGAATAAATCCATTTTCCCCAAAGTTTCATTAGGTTGCTCTCATTTTCATTTGTGTTTATTCTGGTGTGCAATTATGATTTCACTAAAGGGAGGTGAGATGTGATGGCAACATGTTTAGAAACCCCCGAACTACACCCAAATTGAGCCCAAAACCTGGTGTGATGGACTTAATAGGAAAGGTAAAAACAACCATTCTAAAGTGCTTCAATAACTTTCTCTGGAGTAACTCTTTGCTGCTATCTAGTGGTTACTCCATTCAGGGCTGAATTATCTATAACAGAGGTCCCCAACCTTTGTGGCACCAAGGACCGGTTATATGGAGAGAGGTTTTTCCGCGGACTGGAGGGGGCGTGGTTCTGTGTGCTGCCTGCATCCCGCGGATGGGGCTTTGCTTGTTTGTGCAGCCCAGTTGCTGGCATGCTGCGGCCTGGTACCAGTCCACGGACCAGGGGTTGGGGACACCTGATCTATAATACTGCATAACTTGTTCTATTACAGCAGTTACTTAAGCTCAACAAATTTCAACTCCCGGAATTCCTCAGCCAACATGTTGAGGGAAGGCATTCTTGGAGCCGAGGTCTATACATCTTAAAAATTGCTGAGGTTCTAAATATATACCTGTATCTCTTATTGCTACTTCACAGGTTTAACAATGCACTGTTCTTTGGCATACAGAGTACATGTAAATAAAGCTCTAAATATATATTTAAAAAAACTTCTAGGGATCATTTTCAGACCATTTTCCTGACTTCAGGAAGTTGACATGGCAAGTTTAAAGACTGGAGATGGGGAACTGAAGTTCCAAAACACTGGAGTGCAGAACAGTTGGAGACACTGCTCTCTATCTGAGGGACAGGGAAGGGGGTCGCCTTGCAAACATTGTATTTCAATATGGCCATGCTGATGAACAATAGGAATTGCTGTCCAGTATTATCTGGATGGCGGCGTGCTATTGGAGTTATAAAATGCCGTTTAAAGACTGATATAGGTCAAAATAGAAATTTACAATTAATTTCAGCCCTAGAACTTACCGTCAACGACAGCAGAGACAGCATAGCCAATGGATAGCCCAGGTTCCTTTGCCAAGCGGAAGCTTTGCGGCGCGTTTCTGCCAAAAAAGAAGGGGAAAAATGCACACTTACAACACACAGAAGTTATATTAGATGAAGGATGACCATTTTCCATGGCCTCTTGAGAAATCGTTTACTTCTAGGATGCCCCTATTAAAACTGCCTTCTCTTTTAAGGAGGAGAACAACCTCACTGCCATTGAGCGAGGTATAACTACCTCCAATGAGATGTCTGTCTCCAATAAAATCAAACCTAATAAAGAAAAGGAGCTAATACTAGCGTGTGTTTTATTCATCCCCCTCTCCTTATTTTTTTTGTTTAAAAAGGAAAAAAAAGTATGTGGATTCTGGGGAGAGAAGCCTGAAAGAAAGGCCCATCCATCATGATCAAAAGCAAAAATGCTGTAAAAATTATAGGCCTCAATCCCAGGCACTGGATATTCGATCTTGCTGTTTTCTCAAGTATTTCTCCAAAGCTAAGGACCGGGCATCTGTATGATGTCAGTTCTTACGTCGGAATCATCTTGCCTCGTATGGCCCCATCTCACATTTAGAAGATGAACAATCGGTTCCCTTCCAGAATTTTAATACAGATCTCAACAAGTTGTAGATTACCAAGATTATAGCCTAAGCATCTAGATCAGGGGTCTTCAAACTCGGCCCTTTTATGACTTGTGGACTTCAACTCCCAGAATTCCTCAGCCAGCGTGCCTGGCTGAGGAATTCTGGGAGTTGAAGTCCACAAGTCATAAAAGGGCCGAGTTTGAAGACCCCTGATCCAGAAGGTATCCATTTCCTGCTTTGGCTCTAAATGGAGCCTAAGGAGATTTAGGATAGCAATCAAGGGCGAAGGCTTCCCTGCTGAGCTAAATTCTTAAACCCAAGTCCTGGCAGGTTTCTGAAAAAGCATAGAAGATATACATAATAGAGAATGTGAATGCCTCTGGGAAGATCTTAGGTTGCCCATTCGTGTGGCAGGAGGGGAATTAATCTGAGTATTCCCAGGCTAGGATTGCATAAACGTTCGATCTTTCCATAATTAGAAAAAATTAGTGGTTGGTGCAATAACAGGCAGAACACAAGGGATAGAGAATAGGACTGTTTTGATAGAGCAAATCAGAGTTTCTTTGAAATGCCTGTTATGTGGAATCAACAGAGGAGCAACAGAGTATCTCCATATAGGCAAAAGAGCAGGAGCAGCCAGCTTCTTTCCACATTGCATTTTATTCTTACCTAGTGTTATCCTGTGTGCATGAATGGCTAGGTACTGTTGTCTCAACATTTCCATATCAAAATTGAGCCAGCAGGATGTTTTCCCTGAAGAAAAGCAAAGCAAACAAAAAAGAGTAAAGAGATAGAACCTGGATCAGCCTCGAGGCCCACATGCAGCAACCTGCTTCTCATGGCAACAGGGTACAGTCCTATAGGGTAGGTAATCCTTGTTGAATGACTACTCATTCAGGGACCGTTCGAAGTTGCAATGGAGCTGAGTGGGGTGGACTTACGATGGGTCCTCGTCACTGCAACTGTCACACGAGCATAATTTGGATGCATGGCAACCCACTTTGCAGTTACAACGGTCATAGCATCCTTCGGTCATGTGATCACCCCTTGCAACCTTCCAGATGGCCTCTGACAAACAAAGGCAATGGGGAAGCCAGCAGGAGGTTGAAAATATCAACCATGTCACTACCGAATGCTGCAGCCATCTAACAATAGCAACTGGGACTACTGCAACTTCCGCCATAAGTTGGCATGGTCAGGTGGTATTGTGCTTTACGACTGCATTGCTTAGCAACAGAGTTGCCAGACCCAATTATCGTTAAGCGAGTACTACCTGTAATTGCCCTTTCAAAACACGTTAAAATGAGCTCCTCTGGAGATCCCTTGTAGACTAATGCACGTGTGCAGTCACGATGACTGCTGTGTGTTAGTTCTGAATGGATTTTATATAGAACTATTTTATTACCATAGAGGTCTTAATGGTTTAGTTGGTCTGTGGTGCTGTACACCATCGAGAGTCGATATGGATTGCAATGGGATAGAAAATAGGTAAACGAATAAGTCATTTCAGCTGTCTGCTAAATCCAAGCACAAAAATTCCCAAGCCTCAGCTCTATCCAGCCTTAAATGGGCACCTACCAGAATTGATCTTGCGAGAAATGGCAGCTTCCTCAAACCCCGTGCAGCTCAGTTGCTCATCTAAATCCTCCAGGAGCTGAAAAGACAGGAAACATGCTCTCAACACCCTATTGGGAATAAAGTTGCTTGCTTTATTACAGCCAATACCTTTTCTCTTTCCCAATCAACTAGGTAAAGAGGCAGAGTGGGTGGTTAAGAGCTGGTTTAATTGATAGATGTGTGGGATTGGCAATAATGGCAGGGATTTTTAATCTGCTAAGTGTTTTAATATCAGCAACAATAGTATATTGCTTAAAACAGCTTGGGGGGGAGGAGGAGGAGGAATTGGCAATGGATTTTCAGGTGGAAGAATGATGGCCTTTATTTCATTCTACCAATCAAAATAGTTTTAGGCAATGTTATGTAATGCAAATCATAATACCCATTAAGCCAAATTTGAGAGAAAGAGAGGGGAAGGAAGGAAGGAAGGAAGGAAGGAAGGAAGGAAGGAAGGAAGGAAGGAAGGAAGGAAGGAAGGAAGGAAGGAAGGAAGGAAGTCAATCTTGCAATCCTGATGTGTCCCCAACTCTGCTTTAAACTATTCTTATCTCTGGCTTTGCTTGTTTCATCTCCTCCCCAAATAATGGTTTGGTCACTATTAGCTAGAAAAGAGACAATCTTTACTGCTTGATTTGGTATGGCAACTGATGGTGATAATTTCCTTACCCCTTTTTTGGGAATTGACCATAGAAAGACTGAAGCTATCTTACCCTGGGCTTTACCAGCAGTGTCCCTGTGACAGTGAACATCCGCGACAGACCGAAGGGTGTACACACTGTAAAGAATTGGAGACAAGACAGTTGTGACTAGCCCCAGCAAATAACTCCCTAATGATCTTGCTTGCCAGAAGGTGGCACTGCTCTCCAGAATCTAAGAAAGTTGATAGGTTCTGCCAGGAAAGTAGATCTCCCTCTGCTTGTTCTGCTGTTCCACCATGCCAGAATGCCATTGTTTCTTCTCAGAGTCCAGCACAAAGCAGTTCTGGAAAACGGATGCCGTTCTAGGAATCCAGCAGGTCAAATAAATAAACCAAAGTCACCTGTTTCTACAATGCAACAGATTATCGGGCTCTTCAAGATGTTTATCTTCACATTCTAATATTTCTCTATTGCATTATTCAAAGAGGCACTTTTTCTTTCAAGTGGTTATAGAGGGTGGCAGCCAACCCAACAACATTCTCCAACTCCTTCCAAATGCTTTAGAACCGCAACCCTCAGAATTCTGAGCTAGCATGGATGAACGTTGGGGTTCTGACCTATCAGGTAATGACTGTGCCAGCTAAGAATTCTGGAAGTTGTAGTCCACATGTATGCAGAGGGAGTTGGGAAAAGTTACTGTAGTGGGTCTCAACTGACCAGCTGAAGACTTTTGCTCTGGGAGACCATAATGCTTGTGCAACAGAGCACATGTAGTATATTGCAGAATCAATTACCAGTATTGGCAATTCAAAGAACTATGCAGCAAATGATAAAAACATTCCTCCTCTGCCCCAAACTCTGAAGCAGCAGACATGACTGAACTGAAAACTTACACAGGAGCAGGAGGACACCGAACAAGGAGATGCAGGAGTAGAGGTAGGGAAGGTAATACTCCCAGAGATCTGTGGGGGGGAAAAAGAATACAAACAGGTTACAGTCTAGGAGAAAAGAAACAGGGGCCTCCAGGCCTAGGAAATATCAAGGATGTTGCTGAACTTCAAAACCCAACAGTCCCCAATCGTCAGAGCCAAGAACAAGGGGAAGCTGGGAACTGAATTCAGCCATATCTGAGCTGAGCTGAAGTTCCTATTAAATACAAAACAGAGACTCTCAGAAAGCAGGAGATTATTGAACAAAGGGCATCTGATCATATTTACTCTAATTTATTACTTCTAAGATTTATATCATGGTTTTTACTCAGGAGCTGATGGTAGCACATAGGGCATTCCCTCCTCCTATTTTTCCCCACAACAATTCTGTGAGGTAGATTGGGCTGAGAGAATGACAGGCCCAAAGTAAGTCAACCACTGAGCTTTTAGGGCTGAGGGAAAACTAGAATCTGGCTCTCTCCAATTCTAACAAAACTCCTTAACCATTCCACCACACTGGTTCTTGCTCTCAAATATTTCTGAATTGAGCAAAGAAAGAAAAAGGTCCTTTTCTGTCCACCCACAAATTTTTTCCAATGCACTACAAATCATACGCAGAGTTGTTCTCAAATATTCTGCCCAGTGTATCGCTCTAACCTACTGGGAAGAGGTTAAACATCACTGCTAGGCAGAACTAGTCCTTCTGAATTTGCAGCTGACCAACCGTCCAGTCGTGCGTTTCATTTCCTGCTTGGTTTTCATGAGGTATGACCAAGAGGAGCTAAGCTACTAGAAGCTTGTTTATTCACTGGAGAGTTTTGTCTATATCAAGAACCTTGGGTTGGAAGCATCCAGTTAATTTATTTGTTTGTTTTGACTTGTATCTTGCCTTTGCTATTATTTATAAATAACCCAAGGCAGCAAACATACTTAATACTCCTTCCTATTTTCTGCACAATAACCTTGTGAGGTGGGTTGGACTGAGACTAAAACTCATGGTATCCTGGTTCCTAGGCCAGCACCTTAGTCACTAGACCAGGGGTAGGCAACCTTGGCTCTTTTATGACTGGTGGACTTCAACTCCCAGAATTCCTGAGCCAGCCATGCTGAGGGGAAAGGGAGAGGTTTCCAAGCTGAGCCATGCTGGCTCAGGAATTCTGGGAGTTGAAGTCCACGAGTCATAAAAGAGCCAAGGTTGCCTATCCCTGCACTAGACCAAACTGGCCTAACAAACTGACCAAACAAATAAAAATTGGACAAACTGACCACACAATTCCTTCACAACTCAGCTCCACTAATGAGATGATGAAGGATAAGAATAAGATGATTTATGCTTGTTGGCTAAAGATCAATGTAGATTTCAAGGGCATCCGTCTTCAAGGGCCCTCCTCACAGCTCCCCACTACCAGAGGCTGAAATCTCCTCTTGCAGTGGAAGGTATATATATATATCCCTTTAGAGGGCGAAAAGCCTCCCCACCATAACTCACCGTAGAGGCTTTCTCTGCTCGCCCCGTCCTGGTCCAAAATGGCAGAGGCGACCCAGACCATTCCCAGCACCAACAGGGTTAGCAACAGCAGGACTACAAAGGTCTCATATACCCGAGCCATGATCCCCTAGACAGACAGAGAAAAAGGGGGTTGTTATTTCCGTTCCAGAGCTGGGAGTGGTATAAGAAATCTTCAAGAGGCAGCTGGCGCCATTTTGTTTCTAGGTGGAAACCACTTTCGGGCTTTTTGCTTGAGACTGAAAGCAGTGAAATTTTAATTTGGGGATTTAACAATTCGAACTGTTTATGATTATAGCAATACCGTGCACTACTACTGAATTTTAGAGCAAAAGGTTATATATTTTTTGTATTTGTAACTTTACTGAAGAAAGTTGGAAGTTGCTTTCATTCTATTATTGTTTTCTTATATTCCTTGCACTTTTCATACTCTACTTTTTTAAAAAAATAATAATTGGTTTTTAAATTTTATTTTGTATAGAAATTCAAGTGTGCATATGTGTATGTGTGTGTGTGTGTTTGTGTGAGTGTGTAAATAAAATAAATACAATAAAAAGAAGCGGCGGGTACCTTCTTTGATCCGGCAAAGCCTTCCGATTCCGTGAAGAAGTAGGCAAAGGGCATGAGGAAGACGAGGGAGAGGTTGGAAAAGAGGAAGACAAGATTCCAGAGTCCTAGGGAACAGAAAAGAGGGAAATAAATTCCCTTATGCCTCTGCTCCAGCTCCTCAAAAACATATCGCTGCTCCCTCCCCTGATGTTGGGTTCCTGCTAGCCTCCTTGAGTTGGGCCATTCCTGGGATAATCCACAGAGGCCCAACTCTGGTGGGGACACTCATTTCCTCTCAAAAGCTGGATCCTAGAGCTCTCTCAAAGCTGAAAATCCCAGCCACCTTATACAGAAAACAGAAAGGGTGCATTGACATACACACTTGATACAGACTTCAAACAGATGTTCTTTCCCTAAGCAGCCTCTGCTCTGAAGTGGCTTCCTTCAGACTGAGCCAATTCTAGACAATGAGAGGACTCATCCTGCAGGGTCTTTGTTCTACAACACAAATGTTGGCGATTGTGGGATTTTCAAAGGAGAGAAGCTAGAATTTGGGAGACACAGAGAACTCTGAAGAGGGAAAGCAGTTTTGGGTGCTAATTTTGCTTTCTTTCCCCCCCCCCTTTTTTTTTTAAAGGAGAAAGGCTCCCTTAAATTGAAACTGCCTCCTCATGACTGCAAACTGGCAGCATTACACAAGAGGTTTCCCATCCTTATGTCCCCAAATGCTTTTCTGATGTCCAAGTCCGGCTTACCATCCTTGGTCTCCCATCCAGGTACCAACTAGATCTGACCTTCTGATCAGCCAAGGTCAACTTGGTGCTACCATCTGGTAAGACTTGGGTTTTAAAACTTGCCTGAGAGTTCTAATCCCTCTTGCTATTCAGGTTTTCTCCATTGTGAAAGTACACAGAAGGTGGGAGGGGCGTTCCTTCCTTCTGCCCACAGAGACAGATGCCCCTCCTCCATGCCCACAGAGGAAGCATTGCAAGAAGCTCACCGTGGATGAGGGAGCCGTTCAACCACTGGATGTAGTAATTTTGAGGGAAGGAAAGCAAGACTTCATTGCCGATGATGGAGAAGGGCAGCAGGAGCACTGCCCCCAGGGACACAGCCAGAGTAAAGGTGCACAGCCACAGCCTGAGTAAAAAAGGCACAAAAGAAAGGATAAGATGCTTATCCACATCCATCTGAACCTGCTTGCTGCACAGTGAAGCCACAGACTACTCCTCATATTTACGACTTTCTTCCCAAAATAGACATTCTCTCTTTGGGCCATAGTCAAAGGATAAGAAGGATAAGACACTTGAGCATGACAAGGAGAGAGAAGCTGTGTTCACCTCGTATTTTTGACGAGGGTCTCTCTCACACACACACACCTCTGTTGGACCAGTTCTTTCACTTGAGTCTTATCAAAATCCAGAGCAGTTCCAGTTAATGGAAGCCTGAAGTCATAAATAAGGCTCTCAAATTTTAATTTATCCCAAGTGACTAATCTTTTCAGGCCGGGTGGGCAGCTGAAACCTAACTTTCTGGATGAGAAGCAACCTCTAATGGGGAGGAGGTAAGATAATGTGGTATGCTTAACATGCCACGTGAATGCCTTATAAATGTGGATCTGAATAAGCATGCATGCTTTATTTTTATATAAACATATGCAAAAGTATGCCTTTTCTAATTTTTTTATTTATTAAATTTATACGCTGCCCTACTATCAAACAACTGAAGAATAATGTCGGAAGAGGACAGGGATTCTTGAAAGCCTTAAGGGCTGTTCATTTCCAGGACTGCCTATAATAAATTCTCTATGCCTGGATCTAAGAGAATTACAAAATTCCTCCTCCTATTTGTTTACCTGGGCCATATTCTGAAAATACCTTTGAATGGTGTCCCTAATTACACAAAGAGAGGGATAGGGAGATCCAGATTGGATGCATTTTTATTGGACATTTCAATTTTTTTTTAAATACTCCATAAAACAATAAAAAGGAAAATACAGAAGTGGGAAGAAGGCAGGGGAAAGGGAAGTCATGAATATCTTAAGAGGAAAAAAGAGGGAACTTACGCAATCCGATTGACTGCAGCATCTTCATCAACTAAGAATAGAAAAAATTGTTATTAATATTGTTACTAAACTAAGTGCTCAAAGCTCTTATAACGATGATGATGATGATAACAACAACAAGAAGAAGCACCTGTAACATAACACCCTGGACTTAACAATTGTCGATAAGAAAGACAAAAAAGTCTGGATAGTGGATATGGCAGCGCTTGGAGGCGGCATAACTGACGAGAAAGAACTGGAGAAGATAACAAAATACAAAGACCTACAAATAGAAATAGAAAGACTGTGGCAAAAGCAAGCAAGGGTAGTACCAATAGTAATAGGCGCCTTGGGTGCAATCCCAAAACAACTGGAGCACCACTTGAACACCACTGGCATTGACAAATTTGCCATTAGTCAATTGCAAAAGGCGGCCTTACTAGGAACTGCTTCCATCCTGCGATGATATCTGTAATAACATCAAACATCCACATCTGCCTATCACAGGTCCTTGGTAAGGACTCGATAGGTAGACAAAATGCCAAATCCAGTCTGAACATCTGGCTGACTGTGCGATGATCCATAATAATAATAAAGTTGGAAGGGACCTTGGAGGTCATCTAGTCCAACCCCCTGCTCAGGCAGAAAACCCTATACCATTTTGGACAAATGGCTGTCCAGTCTCTTCTTAAAAACTTCCAGTGTTGGAGTATTCACCGCTTCTGGAGGCAGGTTGTTCCACTGGTTAATTGTTCTAACTGTCAGGAAGTTTCTCCTTAGTTCTAGGTTGCTTGTCTCCTTGATTAGTTTTCACCCGTTGTTTCTTGTCCTAACTTCAGGCGCTTTGGAAAATAGTTTGACTACCTCTTCTTTGTGGCAGCCCCTGAGATACTGGAACACTGCTATCATGTCCCCCCTCATCCTTCTCTTCATTAAACTAGAGATACCCAATTCCAGCAACCGTTCTTTATATGTTTTAGCCTTCAGTCCTCTAATCATCTTTGTTGCTCTTCTCTGTACTCTTTCTAGAGTCTCAACATCTTTTTTACATCGTGATGACCAAAACTGGATGCGGTATTCCAAGTGTGGCCTTACCAAGGCGTTGTAAAGTGGTATTAACACTTCACGTGATCTTGATTCTATCCCTCTGTTAATGCAGTTCTGCCAAAGAACTCAAGATAACGTCTATGGTTCATCTTGCCAGTCTAGCATAGTCATCGCTCTAAGCTTCTCCTACCGTATTACCACCCACTACCACGGGGAGTGGAGATCTGAATTTGTGTCATCCAGTGACAAACTTTTTAATTGCAGCATACATGGGATAGTCCTAACAGGAAGCGTAAGGACGGCATATAGTTTTTACAGTATTCCATGTTGGTCACAAGACATTTTATATTAGACCTGCTTGAATCCCAGTGAAACAAAGGCAACCCTTTAAACCCACCTCAGGACACTTCGGGGCAAAGTGTCCCTGCTCACTGCAAAACCACGACTTCTTATGCAAGGGTGAAACGTAATATACAGTATAAATACAGTGAGAACAGAGAAGAAAGTAGACTAGGAGAGGAATTCCTCAGGGTTAGCAGAAGTTACTTCTTGTCCACCATAATCAGTTATAAAATATGCAGCTGAAGAGGAAAACTCGTTCAAACAATCTGAACAGGCTGGTTGACTACGGATGACAGAATCTACTGTTCAAATCAGTTAGGGGGAAAAACCCCTTAGAGAGAAGTTTTTGGTACTCTCTGTTCACTATTGCAAAGAGATGGATATAGTCTGTTTCCCCTCCCCCCCCATCTGCAGATACATTCAACCCTCCTCAGAGAAAGATGGTTTCCTTGAAATCCAGAATATAAAGTAGAATATACAGAAGTTTCGTTCTGTACACAGCTCTCTAAGGGAAGAGCGGTGAATGGTGCCCCTCTCCAGACAGAGGACCACAGACTGGCTGGTTAGAATTGCACACATAAAAAATATTCCTTATGAATCTGATACCCAGCTGTGTAGGGTACAGTAGCACAAAGAAGATTTTGCGGGAATCCTTATGCTGTAGTTATCTATCTAGGAAAAATGTAATGTTACAGTACAGGAGTAAAAACAGATTGTCTTTGCAAATGGATTTTAAAAGTGGCCACGTTTCACCGTTTCCTCATATTCCTTGTGCCCAATAAGTGTCAGCATCAAACTACAAGCCCAGCAATTGGAAAATTGCTAAGCTGGAAAAAGAACTATATTCCCAAGGCCAACTGCTACCAAGGCAACTAAATTAGCAGCAGCATCAACAAACTTTAATTTAAAAGATAAAGAAGCCCTTCTACAGGGACTGGGATGCAGGGACCTCAATGCTGTTGCAAAGCAGGAGAACTCTGGGGAAGAAATCTTTCCATTTGGGCCAGAGAGGGTGTATTGTCTCCAGAAGCTTCATTTGCAGGCATTCTGCATAGAAGTTAGTTGAAGCCTGAGGGAGCTAACGGGAGGGAGTCCACAGAGTCCACTCACCCGTTGCTTTGTGAACAATTTATAGGCTCCAAGCGGTTGCAAAGGGACATTTGCCTGCTAAAATCAGCTGGCTTAATCGCAAGTTTGAGATAGATCAGTGGTTCTCAACCTTTTTAATGCCGCAACCCCAATCGGTCGTAAGTCGAGGACTAAACCGGTCGTAAGTCGAGGACTACCCAACCGGTCGTATGTCGAGGACTTTCCCTGCCCGGGAGTGCCGCGCATGCGTGGTTCTGCCCCCTGCGCCGGCCGAGGCGTAGCTGGCAAGCGGCAGAGACGGAGCAGGCCGACCACCAGCTGGCCCAGCCCAAGGGAGGTAAGGCACCCACCGGAAAAGGAAAAAAATGGCGGACAAAAAAAATGGCCGACAAAAAAAATGGCCGACACCCTTGCTTGGCGACCCCCATGAAATGGTCGATCGACACCAAATGGGGTCCCGACCCACAGGTTGAGAACCACTGAGATAGATGCTCTGAGGCTCATAAAGGCAGTTGAGAAAAGTTACGGAAGATCATCAAGTTTCACTCTGGCTGACAGAGACGTTAATGGTCAAACAAATAAGTTCTTTGCTGGAAGGCAAATATGAATTTGGCTGTTACAGAAGCATCCAAGACTTTGTGTCAATACCACCTTCCTCAATCTGATGCCCTCCTGGTTCTACCAGAATTACAGCTATGATAGTGCTGACATGGGACCAGTTTTCCTTCTGGGAATTGTAGAAGTAATAATCCAGCCAATGACTTTCTGGTATTCATCTAGTTGAGAAAGTTTTGCCTGGGAAACCTTTGCCAATGCAAATGTTGTTGCAGCAGAGATGCTTCCCTTTGAATACAGGCATACCAGGAGGCCGGATTCCCACGCTGTGCTAAGCTAGCAAGCCATTTGCCCGATTTCGACATAATGTAATACTGTGTGAACTCAGCCACTGTCGTTTTTAAACCTTGGTGAGTTTAAGTTATGGGCTGTTCAGCAAAGCCGGGATTAAACAAGAGCATTTAGTGCAATGTGAACTCACTTGATTTGTTATCGTTGAGCAGGACACATATTTTGGAAATCTTACTGTAAAATCAAGGGAAACTGCTCGCTTCATTCACCCCTGAACTCTAAAAAGCCACGCCGTACATGGCTTCCACAACTTCAGTGGTGGTGTGGTATAGTGGTTCAGGACTTGGAATGACAAAGGGGAGACTCAGATTCCAGTCTCTCTTCAACTCCCTGGGTGATTTTGGGCCAGTCCCTCTCTCTCTCAACCCAGCCCACACCAAAGGTTTGTTGCTCCTGGGAAAAATGACAAAAAAAACTTACACTCCTGAAGAAAAGGCATCTAACAAAATTGGGGATCTAACAAATAAATAAATCTGCCTTCTGAAACCATGTACCTAGAACAGCTTTCCTAAACCTAGATGTCTTCTGGACGGATGGCTTTCAGCTCCCGGTAGGTCTGGCCTTTGCTGAGAAATCTTGGCACTGAAAGTTGCCCATTCAGGTAGGGGAGAAATGACCTTGATTTGCCCAGTTACCTGTAGTGAAATCTGTGTGCCTTTTGAAGTAGGTTAAGATGAAGTAGCACAGGATGTAGAGACTGCCAAAAAGAAGGGTGCAGATCTGTGGGAGGAGAAGGAAAAACTGGTTAGAGATGCTGGTCATACGTCATCCTCAGTTCATCCAGAGCAAATGGAACACAATTTGGGATACTGTAGGGCAGAGGGGTCAAACCGCTGGTCCACGGGCCGGATGCATCACGTCAAAACCGCGCCCACCCCATTGCCGGCAATGGGGAAAAAGTCGCGATACGTCACAACATGTCACATGACGTTGCGAGTTTGACACCCCAGCTGTCGGGTCATCATCTTCTCTACCTTACCGGTAGTTACTGAGCAAATCAGTTCTATTCCCATCACTATATTCAATTTTTTCCTTTATCAACCTCTCTTTGTAAAATTTCTTCAGACAACAAGCAGCCAGCAGGTTTGAGAAAAGCCACAATTCTTCCTCTAATTTTATTTGGGTTCCCTAACATTCTTTTTAACAATAGCTGGGAAGGGGCAATGACTTAAGAGCTGGAGAGAGCAAAACAAAACAAGGAAATATTAAAGCAGGAAACTATCGGCCTTTTCCTGCAAATGCTGCCTACGTGCTTACATACAAGATTTAGAATGGGTTCAAAGATACATAAAGTAAAGGTGGTGGTAAGAGATGGCAGCAATAATGGGATAGGTTTGAAGAGCGCCAAAATTGGAAAATCTAGGAAACCACATTTATGATTAAGGGAAAGATACCTAGAGCAGGGATAGGCAACCTTGGCTCTTTTATGACTCGTGGACTTCAACTCCCAGAATTCCTGAGCCAGCATGGCTCAGCATGGAAACTTCTCCCTTTCCCCTCAGCATGGCTGGCTCAGGAATTCTGGGAGTTGAAGTCCACCAGTCATAAAAGAGCCAAGGTTGCCTACCCCTGCCCTAGAGCATCAACGTGGGTGACGAGAGAATTACAACAGAGAAACGGTTTCAGGAAAGTGTTGAAAATATCATTTTCTAAAGAAGGCTTAGAAATCATCCCATCCCCCCAAGTCTAGCTTACAGCTGAAAGAAAGAGTGAATGGAAAAGTGAAATGGGAGGAAGAGTGGATCAACAAGTTTCATCCTTTCTTCTAGCCTGACTGCTATATCTCTAGATTCTTTATTCGACATCTTAGCTATTCCATTGCCAGCTCATCCTTAATATTTGGAATATTATAACAATGGGAAGGAAGTAATTTTTTAAAAAATAAATGCATCTTTGATTAAAAGATTTGAGAGTAAAACAATGTTGGTTTGCATCTGTTCAGACTTTCTTCCAGTTGAAGCCACATTGCCTCCTCTAGTAACTTCACAGAAAATGGAAAACCCTTCCAATACAGTACATACATTTCTGAGAACAGGATTCAGAAGTTAAAACAACAAAATTAAGCATGAAAAGAAGATCCCATCAGTGAAGCTATGTAAACAAGACAAGCCTAAATCTGAAAAAAAAAATCAAATGGTCAGAGTTCTAGGCAAATAAACATTGCAAAATAATCCTGTTATTTTTTTGTGGAATGAGCATTAAATTGCTCTCCAGCCCCAACAAATAGTAGTTACAGGTTTACTGGGCTGCCCAAGGATATTCAGGTGGTGCTCCTGAAACATACCAGGTTTAATTTAAAGGGTCATCTTTTTGCATTCTTAGGTTCCAAAATCTTATTCTTCAAGAAAGAAAGCAACCGTCCATAAGACAATTAAATGCCGCAGCCTCCTAGCCCACCTTACACTAGAGACCTATTTTAAAACATGACAAAGGTTGCACACTATCCTTTTTCAATGTGGTGCTATCCAGATATGATGGATTTCCAAAATCCCTCCACCATAATAGCCAATAGAGCTAGATTCTCACAGAATCTATTCTAGAATATTCCTGATTAAGCATATCAAAGAATTGAAGCTATAAAAAAGAGATTGCTACCAAAAAGTAACCAATTCTTTTTCAATCCTTTCAAATTCTGCCAGCTTGCTTAACTTTTTGCAACTACTTAGTAAAGATAATAGCATTTGTCAGCAAAACTAAACACTCTGGCTTGCATCAGACAACTCCCACTCCTCCCAGGAGCAGAGTAATAAGCACAGTTGGGACCCTCCCCCCTTCAGGTGATTTCAACAATAAGACAGATGATCACGTATATATGTGGTATCTCAGCTTTACATCAGAAACAAGGTTCCAGTCTTTAGAAAGACAGAAGTAGAGTGAAAATGATGAAGGCCAAACTAATTTCCTTGATTAGGGAAAAGACAATATCTAAGTTTATTGCTCACCAGAAACCCCCTATGCACATTTTGCATGAAACAGAAAAAAATGAACTAAAGTTTTATAGTTTTGATGATTAGAAAACAAACAAACAAAAAGCTTTTGTTTTTGTAACCATAGAGTAAGAGGTAATTTTGTAATTGTAGTTATATTTATAAGAGAATATTTGTAGCTCAGGATTGAATTGTGAGATCCTTCCTGCTTCTCTGAGCTTGATTGTTTTTTGCAGACGTTTCATTACCCAAATTAGATAACATCATCATGTGTTTGATGATGATGATGATGATGATGATACTCTTACCTAGTTTGGGTAATGAAATGTCTGTAAAAAAAACAATCAAGGTGAGACAGCACCAAGGACCCCACTGTAGTTATATTTGCTGCCAAAAAAAAATGGGAAGCTGCTTCTATTTCTTTTCATTTTATTTTTGCCCTTTTTTCCTTTCTTTACTTTATATTGGTTCTTTTTTTTTTTAACCTTCTTTTCAAAACTCTTAATAAAACGAAATTACAGAAATGCGGAAGTTTGAAAGCAGGGGAAGAACAAAGCCTGGGAGAAAATAAGAAAGAGGCAGGCAAGCATTTATTTATTTTTTATTTTTTGAAAGCAGGAAACCGTGACTTCAATTTTATACCAGTCCCGTTCCCACTGCCCTCTTCCGCGTGGAAAGAGGAACGAACAGCTTGTAATGTACAGTCTCTTCTCATCCAACAGGGAAGCAGAAGAGCAAAACAAAATTGCTCTGAGCCAGCTGGCATCCTGTAGTATGATGTGCTTTGGCGTTGCTGCCTGAGCGATGACCTAGCAGAGTGCTATGCAGTCAAGCAGGAAGAAGTGGATTTTTTTTCCCACCTCCTCTATGATGCCCCGAAATTAACCTTCAAACAGAAAAGGAGCATCCTGGGTTCCAAACCAAGCAACCCAGACAGCTTTTTATTTCATTTCTTCATTACCACAGATTAAAGTACCCCTAGCCAAGGAGCCAGCAGCCTTTCTTAACAAAGCGAAAGGCTTCCCTTACGGGCTACTCTAATGTAAACACAGATGGTTCCTGCCCTCCCAAGCTTTATTAAGAGAGGGAGCCCGAATACTGCATAGAACAGTGGTTCTCAACCTGTGGGTCGGGACCCCATTTGGGGTCGATCGACCATTTCATGGGGGTCACCAAGCAAGGCTGTCCGCCATTTTTTTTGTCCGCCATTTTTTTCCCTTTTCCGGCGGGTGCCTTACCTCCCTTGGGCTGGGCCAGCTGGTGGTCGGCCTGCTCCGTCTTTGCCGCTTGCCAGCTACGCCTCGGCCGGCGCAGGGGTTGGAACCACGCATGCGTGGCGCTCCCTGGCAGGGAAAGTCCTCGACTTACGACCGGTTGGGTAGTCCTTGACTTACGACCGGTTTAATCCTCAACTTACGACCGGTTTAGTCCTCGACTTACGACCGGTTGGGGTCACGGCATTAAAAAGGTTGAGAACCACTGGCATAGAGCATTCATCAAGTAACCTGGAGGGCTTCAGAAACCCTGGAAGAGACAAGACTCCAGAAGCTGGAGACCGTGCCAGGCATTTCTAGATAATTACTGCACTAATCCTTGTAATGGCCATTATGATCCCTACGTCGTAGGCTGGCTCCCACGCTATGCGATCCCATGGTTTGCTTAGTCACAATTTATCAAATCATTTTCAATTGGAGCATTAAATATTTACACCTTTCAAAATGTCTTCAACTAGCTCTGGATCCCATTTAATCTCACAGTGGACAGGTCGTCCTCGGCTTACAACCATTCGTTTAGTGACTGTCTGAAGTTACAATGGCACTGAAAAAAGTGACTCGTGATGGTTTTTCGCACCTATGACGCTGTGGTCATGTGACCAAAAGTCAGCCGCTTGGCAACTGACTTGTACTTATGACGGTCATGGGATCACCTTTCGTGACCTTCTGACAAGCAAAGTCAATGGGGAAGCGTATTTACTTAACAGCCGTGTTACTAACTTAACAACTGTGGTGATTCACTAAACAACTGTGGCAAGAAAGGTCATAAAATGCAGCAAAACTCATTTAACAACCGTTTTGCTTAGCAACAGAAATTTTGGGCTCAATTATGGTCGTATGTCGAGAACTATCGGTAATCACCTTAAGGGAAGTGAACTACTTCTGATTCTGCTCCAGTATATTGTTGGTGATTTTTTTATTTTTTTTTTAAATGAATCGCCTTGGATCTGTGATGTCCACATTGACGGGAGCTCTTGTTTCACTCCATTTTAGGGGTCCTGGGTTCAAAGCAATCATTACCTACTCTATTCTTGCCATAAATTTTAAAGTTCAGTGCCTGGATGTGTGTTTCTTTCTGCGCGTATTGGTGGAACTGCTAACCAGACAGTCACTGGATCAATGCACCAACATGGACACCCACTTGGTAAAAGGCCTACAGTAATTTGCAGAATTTCATTTTCACAACTACAGGACATGTCCAGAAAAAACGCAATGCTTCCTTTGTATGATTTCCCTAGCAACCATTTTGTTTGTGTGTGTGTGTGTGTGTGTGTGTTCGCGCGCAAGCCTCTATCCAAATTTATGTACTAAATCAGGAGTTCCCAACCCTGGCCCACTACTGGCCATGAGCTTTTCGGAACAGGGCCATGGAAGTAATGGGCGTGTGTGCACCCCCAGTTCCAGGAGCAGATGTGTGTGCATGCTGCATTTACATGAGCGGTGGGCATGCATACCTGCCACTTGCACAAATGGAGATGAGTGTGTGCGTGCTTATCAGATGCTCTCGCATGGAACCATC